TAAAAACGAACAGCAAAATTAACTAGGCTACCCGGTTAATTGAATGTTATAAAAATCGACATAATGTTTGAGCTTATTTAAATAATATACAACCGTTATTACATATACCATACATATGTAGAATCGTTACAAACATTTGAAAAGTCAAACAGTTGTAATTACATTGCGGAAATGATCCTTAAACTGGTTATTTATGTTTAACATAATTTTCTTTAAAAATTTATATATTTAAAAATCATCTTATAAATAACAAAAATATACTCATTACTGATTAGATCGGCAGCAGACAATACAAACGTTCTTATATAAATATATTTAAGAATAACAAATATAAACGTAAGAGCATACAGTTTTGGCAATCTATCCGGAATCGTATAACCAGTTTTTAATTGTTTTATTTGAAGTGTAGAACTTGCTGTCTATAGTGTTACACCATCGTAAACAAAGCGTACCGTTTTTTGTTTTTTTCAGCTTAAAATTACGCAAAAAACTTCCGGCTTCATGGCAAGTCATATTCTTTTTTTGACTACTTTACACACTATTATTTGAAATAACTTGATAATCAATAAATTGCGGAAGAAGTTGGCAGAACACTTGTTGTTACTATTATTATATACATATGTATTGTATTCTGAATTATTTTGATTATTTTCAATTTATAAACACATACACAGACACACACACAAATATCACGTAATATTCAACTACTTAAGCACGCCTTCGCTTTGAGGTGTTCTTAGTAATAGCTGCATAAAGGAATAAGACACTCAAGCGCAAAGTTGTTTGTGTATATGAATATTTGTATATCTAACAGTATGTAACAAATGTATAATATGTCTGTATGTATAGGTAACTGTACAAATTTGCGTCAATATACCATTTGAATATTCGCACTTCAATTTTATTTATTTTAATTTTTTTGTTAATATTTGATTAACCCGGAAATTTTATAAATTTATATAAGCGCTTATAACTTATACTGTCTACAGACCAGCAGCTAGCGTTCTTGTTTAATCGAAAATAAAACTTGTCTTCCTCAATCTGTGACCTTGAATTTGGGCTAATATGTTAACTTTATAAACACTTTTAGAAATTATTTAAACATTTCCATTTGCTTTTTATTTCTTTCGCAAAATTTTATAACCAAAAATAAAATAATACAATATAAATAATTATGTGTGCATAAATAAATAAATATGCATGCATATTTAACGAAATCTCCAAATTGATCCACAAACAATATTATAAAGTTCATCAATATGTATATATATGCAAAGCACTTGAGGTATATGCATAGTTATATCTACAAGTTAGCACAGCAACAACAGCACTCATGCCGTGAACTTGTTATCTGCGCGCTTCGCGCTTACCAACGCGTTGATAACACAAGCTCACCGTTAATCAACGCTGAGCCGCTGAAGCTATTGATTTCTTGTATTAATCATCGCTGTTTACCTCAGGTGAACAATGTTTAAACTATTTCGCCGTTTGCATCAATTACAGATGGTATCTTACATATTTTGGTTTCACAGTTATCGTTGCTGTTGCTGTTTCTGATACAAATAAACACACTTCCATACGATATATGTACATTTGTGTGCCTCAAAACTGCATTTGAAGAGTTCAACGTACAGCATGCAAATGGAAAAATATTCATGTAAATATATGCATATACAAGCATATAGGTATATATATATATATATATATATATATATAAGTAGGTGCAAGAAAACACCGTTAATTTCATTGAGAAAGAAGAATGCAAATTGTACGCAGCAGTTGGTTGTGTATGTGTGTGTTTTACTCGTGGTGCCGTTGCGGAAGACGTGTTGCAAAGAAGCGATTAAATATATTTTGAATGTCAAGATTAAGATCGCCACCGCGTCTCTTGTGATTTTTGGCATTATTTCGCTTATATACTCGTACACGCACACTTCTTTAACTTTTTGCGCGTTTAACATTCTAACTGGCCATGGCATTCATAAAGTAGCGGTCAGATTTTGCTAATTAATTTGTGCTGACACTTTAGTTGAATGAAGATAATATTTTTATCAACTTTCAAAGTATTATCAATGTCAATACTATGGACGAGAGTATATAATTTAATGGATATTTTCCAAGTGCCTTTTTAATAGCATAAAAGGGTATAAAAAGATCTTTATCTTGAATTTGATGGAACAGTTTCTATGGCAGCTGTATGCTATATTGGTGCGTTCTGAACAGTATGTTCGATGACTATAGCGCTGCCTTGGACAATAATCTGATACCTTCTCAAACAAACCAAGGTTCCATACATGGACTCGAGTTTGATCGATCAGTTTGTATAACAGCTATTTCCTATAGTGGCTCGATAACGACGGTTTTCCCAAATAAGCAGCATCTTGGAGAGAAAAAGACGTGTGTAGAATTTCAGATCGATATCTCAAGAACTAGAGGACTATTTCGAGTATATACAAACAGACAGACATCAACAGACTAAATCGACTTATCTCGTCAAGCTGATCATTTATATATATATATATACTCTCTTTCATGTTCATATGTATATATAATTTCAAAGGTTTCCTTCTGGTCTACATATGTATTATATGAAATCTCAATGGAGTTCCTGAGAATCTAAAATATAAATTTTTAAATAAATATACGAAGAAAGTAATACAAACTGCCTATGAAACGGAGAGCATACGGCAAGTCCTCACTTTATAGATGATTAAGAATAGAGCTGCCACCACTCGAGTTTATCTCAGAAAATTGTCTTTAAGAAAAAAACAATAATTATTTAAAAAATTTATTCAAATCGAATTTTTTGTTTGGTTTTCGAATTAAAATCTTTGTCATTAATTTTGGTGCTTTAATTCCGTATTTAATTCTAATTTACTTTACTTAAAAAATAATTTAGCCAGTTAACCGTCAAAAATATTTCTAACATAATATTTGCTTCTCATACACTGCAGTCAATTTTTAATAATTTTATTTACACGATTGCATTGCGCATTCTCAACAAATATTGTCGGCGTAAAATCGTTTGCGTTGATCCCTAAATATTTATTACACATGCGCGTAAAATAAGTATATGCATATATGTATGAGTATCATAACATATGTGTCTATATACAAATTTATAAAGCCTGATTCATCCGCTACAACGGTGCATTGACTTAGCGTCAAACACAGGGCTTTAAATCAGTTGAACTTTTAATTAGCACCTTATTTTTTTGCCGGCCTGTTAAGATGAACCGTGCTACATTTTTGACAAACAATGAATAAAGTAGTATGAAAAGAGTATACGAAGCTATTGAGATTTATGCGAGTATGTTGATATTTACTTAATATATATAGTTAATCAATTGGAAAAAATTATATTGTAGTAAAGAAAAAATCATGGTCATCAATTTGGCGGTCGTGTGAGAATATTGATGTGAGAATATTTTTACGAGCGAGAAATCTTGCGCTAACAAGAGTAAACATAAATGTAGGATGTTATGTTTAATATACATAAAAATAAATGTTTTTAGATATATACATATAGAATTCACACAGAAGATGTTCGTGGAATTAAAAGATTTTTTTACTTAATAAAGCACATTAATTAGAAAAATTAAACATTTTTCAAAAGTGAGTTCGCAATTTATTTAGTTTTTAATCCTTAATAAACAAAAATATTTGAAAATGAAAAAAATATTTGAAAGCGTTTATTTGTTGAATAATATTTTAATAATTATAACCAGAACAGGGAATATCAAGTTTGTCACGCTGTTTGTAACACCCAGAGTTGAGACTTTCTGAGAGTTGTCTATCAACCAATTTTTCAGAATACCAATCGGGAAAATAAACATTCGTTTTTTTGACCAACCCTAATATACATCTATAAATTAATAATTTACATGTCGCTATACATATAATACATATAAATATATATAGGAACTAAGAAACTGAGTTGCTCTAAATATTCAATTAATTAACTAATTTATTTTTTAATAAGTTAATTTAAATTTTACATATTATTTTATTCAATTTAAATTTTTTTTTTCCTATTTTATCTAACCTAATTTATTTATGTATTGTAAAAATATCTATTTATTTGTATTCTACATTACATTATTTTATTTTACTATGTTTTAATTTTTAAAATATTTGATTATAAATTTTATTCCAATCCATTTTATTTATAAATTTCAGTTTATTTTATTTTTCTTTTTGTTTAATAATATTTTATTTATTAATTTGAATTTAACTTTTCTTAATTATTTTCTTTTATTTAATTTAATTTAATTTAATTTTTTTTTATTTTATTTTAATTTATGTTATTTTTTCCAATATTATCTAACTTAATTTATTTAATTCTACATTAATTATTAATTAATTTAATATTTTATTCTATTTCATTTAAATTTATTTCATGTATTAATTTTAAATATTTTATTAATTAATTTTAATAAAATTTAATATTCTTTATTCTTTTATTTTATTTTTTTTTTATTTTATTTTATTTAATTAATTTAAAAATTTATTCTATTTCATTTAAATTTATTTCATTTATTAATTTTAAATATTTTATTAATTAATTTTAATAAAATTTAATTTTTCCTTTTTATTTAATTTAATTTTTTTATTTTATTTATTTTATTATATTATCTAACTTAATTTATTTAATGTAGAATAATTAATTATTAATTAATTATTTAACATATTTTTTTGTTATAATATTTCATTTAAATTTATTTAATTTAGTTTTATTTCATTTAATTTAATTTAATTTTATTTTATTATATTTTATTTTATTTTATTTTATTTTATTTTATTATATTTTATTTTATTTTATTTTATTTTATTTTATTTTTGTTTTTTAATACTTTATTTTAATTTTTCTTTATTATTTTATTTTTCTTTAATTTATTTAGCTTTATTTGATTTTATTATATTTAATTTAATTTAATTTTGTTTTTGTTTCTCTAATTGTTGTCACTAACATTTAGAATAATCATTGCTTCTATATTTACCATCGTGATCCACATTCATTTCAATCGAGTTCCCGATGAATGGCAATGCAGCAGGACCGGGAATTTTCTCAATCAATTGCACCATGCGTGCGCGTCTTTTATTATACATCACCAGGAATAAGATGACTGCGCCTACCAAAATTATGGTTATCGGCGAATATTCTCCCACTATTTTGGTAACTTTTGTAAGCAAAACGCTCTCGGCCAGAAGCGCAGTCATTAATTTGTCGGACATTTTGGCAATAGAAATGAACTAAAACACTTTCGTTAAATAAATTTCACTTATTTATTTTTTGATGTTTACAATTTGTAACGATTGTTGATTAATACAAATTCTTATCTTTTCCCACACAACACATTCACCACTAAACAACAGTTTATTTTTTTAAATGTTTAAACGCTCGATAATGAAACACTTTCAATTTCAAACTTAACCGCCACAAAATGATTTCACCTTTTCAATCGCCACCACGAGACGTTGCTGATTCGCCAGCCGAATGTCAACTAACAAAATCTCAATGAATACATGAAGATTTAAAAGAAGTATTAGAAATTTCTTTGTGCACACTGATTTCGCCGCGACTGTTGCGTAGCGTCGAAACAACCAAGTCATCGTTAGCCAAACAGCGAGCAGCGCAGCGTTAAAACGGTTAAAGCCGGTCTCTGGGCACACAAACAGTGCCGTAATACACGCACACACAACTGCTAAAGCAGCGCGCCCCTAACAATGCTGGGCGCACCACGACGCCGCACCACAACATTCACCAGCTGAAATGATTGTTCGCTTGGGCCGCTGTGGCTGGGCGGCAAGTGACGGCGATCTCAATTTTTTTTTGAACCTCGACTGAGTTTTGAAGTTCACACAGCGCCGCTGAAATTGGAAAAGGGTTACTTAAAAGCTTACTGCTGCCGACTGGCTACTATTGAACTAAAAATAGTAGCAGCAATCTGCTGTTGTTGTTACTTACCATTGCATATTGTTGCAATTGTGCGCACACACCGTCCCGTGCCGTGTGTTTATGTATGTATTTGTGTGCTTACTCTTGGCTACGTAATGATTTAGCTCACGTAGCGCTGCCGGTCCGATTGAGCCATGCTTGGTGATGCTGCGATTTCAACCCAGCTGCAGTACAATTGTATGGAAAAGATGAAGAAGAAGAAGATGCAATACAAAAGCGTGTGTTTAGATGATTTTTATTTGTGACGTTTTTAGCATGTTTTAAGTAATACAACTGCGATTGAAAATGCGGCGTGTGTGCCCTTGACGGTCGCCATGTGAAATTTTCATTTGCCAGCTTTTGTTTTGAGCTTGCGATTTTAACGGCGACATTGAGGGTATGATAAAACCCCATTTTAATTATGGTGAAAACAATCTTGAGAAGATTGCATCACAGGTGAATAATTAAGTGATTAACTGCAATACTCAACGCCTGAACGAATATCAAGCAATAGATTCATCATACGACCTGTAGACCCGTGCCTATGTGAAAGTGAAAATCCCTCTAACTGCGCCCGCAAAAAACAAAAATCAAAAACCATTCCAAAACCTTATTAATCCAAAAATAAAGCATCGCATATTATGTATATATAAAATAAGAGCCGCGATTCGCTATTTTTAAATTTTATTAAACAGTAAAACTAGAATTTCGAAAACTTTATATATATATACATGTCCAAACCCGTTCAAATTTGCAATATTTGAAAATTTCCGTCTTAGAACTCGTATATAGCATACTAAACCTTTATTTCAAGCACTTATCTCAAGAATGTAAATCCGTTTCTATACATAAATTACAATATTAATGTTGGCATGAGCCAACCGAAAAAACCCTTTTTGAGTGACTTGGCAGTTTTAAAAGCTCAAACCAAAGCAAATTAGTTTTAAGAGCATACATGAGCGCACAGATTATTAAAGAATAAGCAATGGAAGTAGCATCGAATAACAGGTAACTAGATTATTGCTAATTGATTTGATTTGATCTGTCTGACTTTCAGTTTTTATTTTTTAACAGCGGATATTTAACAAAAAACCAATAGAATAATTATACTGAATTAGTTCCGGACTTATTTCTTTATATTATGCAAGCAAGCCAAAAGCTGCCAAAACGAAAAACTAAATAGCGCTGAACTAAGTATATACTGTAATAAAGTTAGGAGAAAAAAAATTATTTATCAGGCTTTACTACAAAAGTATTTGAGTCTATAGATACAAAATGGAGACTATTAGACCAACTTTCTGATTTACTGTCAGAAATTCTATGAACTTATGTTATCTGAAACGAAATAAAGAACCTTTTCTTAAACTTTATAAAATTCGCTAGTATTTTATTTATCACTTTTCGCAAAATTTCGGTTCTACCAACCGGGACCACTTTCGTTATCATTTACGTGTGCAGTTGCCCTAAACGGCCTAACCTTATATCACACAGATCAAAACAATGTGTTGATGGGCGGCCAAATAAGTTTGAAGATAAGAAACGGGATTCAATTATTCAATGAAGATTGTTTCCAAATACAAGAAGAGTTCTCAGAATATTTAGGAATCAGTCAAACAGCCATTTGAAAACGTTTAAAAGCAGCCGGATACATTAAAAAGAAGAAAGTTGGGGGCCATATGAATTGAAGCGTAGAGGCGTTGAAAGACGATTTTACATGTCATAAATGCTGTTTGAACGCTAAAAAATTGAGTCGTTTTTGCATCGGATTGTGAGTGGTGATGAGAAATGGTTCCATTACGACAACCATAAAGGCAATAAATCGTATGTGAAACCTGGCCAACCAGCCAAATCAATCGCAAAGCCAAGTATACATGGTGCCAAAATAATACTCTATATTTGGCGGGATCAGAGAGACGTATCATATACGATTCTAAAATCGGATGAATGATGAACTCTTCAACAACTAATCAAATTGAAGCCAACCTTATAGTCTAGACCTTGATTATTGTGATTAACATTTGTTTCGTTCGATTCACATAAGAAAGGGTTATTCCTAATTGGCTTGATTCATTCTTGGCCGCCAAGCCGGTGAAGTTTTTTGGGATGGAATACACAAATTGGGAGAAAGCTGGGAAGCTATTATAGCTTCAGGGTGAAAATACTTTGAGTGGTACTACATTAATGTTTTTCCTAAATAAACGTTCAAATTAAAAAAAAAACGCTAGAAATGCAAAAAAAAAATTACAAAATAATATAATCATTAGCATAAAATGGGATGTGTTAGATGGCAGCGCTGAAAGGTTTAATCACTAAAAGTTTGAGAAACGCTGTTGAGTAAGGTCTTTTAAGTAGGTAAATGAGTATACCTTGGAATAATAATGAATATTAGAGTGGTACTTTCATATAAAGTTATATTTGATTATGTCTCATTTCTGAGTTCTGTATTTTAAAACTAATTATGCTCATCAAAAATTATAAATACTTGCAACATAAAAATTATCTTCAATAAAATTATTTATATTACAAATTCTTCGCTTTCAGCAGAAAATAATTTCGAAATAATAAATTATAAGTACATAATAATAAAGTGGTTTATGAATATTTACTTTAGCACACACGTACATACAAACATAGAACTTCAATCATAGTTTGTGTATTTCACACAAGCTTAATGTGAATAGTTTGTAGTTCTATATATCATATCTACACTCGCACATTGTATTGCATGTAGGTGTGTAAGCTCGCTAAGAATAATTTGACAATTAAAATAAATTTTGTGTACAGAAATGCGGAAAGCGCAACAAAACTCCATACATGGCACAAAAGAAGACAAACAAGCAAAAAGAAAACCAAAAACAAAAAAAAAAATGAATGCTGCCAAAAGCTGCCGGTAATTCTCTTATGTTTTGCTCACAGTATAAATTATGGTTATTACTGCTATAATTATAAGTGTGTAAATTTGTTTAGCTTTATGTCTGTTGCTACTGAAAGTGACAGCTAAGCCTTTCCACTATGCGCTCGCCCATTTAATTTAAATTAAAAAAAAAAGTGTCTTCAATTTGGTCAAAATTATTTACGCTTGTTAAAATAAAGATACGGAGATATGACTCGAGCAATTGGTAAGTAATGGCACGTAACATGTATGCAGAATATACATATGTATATCAGAATAAGTATATACATACATATAATGCCTCTATGTGCTTTATTTCAAAAGAAGTGAGAACTGGTTCAGCATCTTAAGATTAATGATTGATAACAATTTAGAACAAATTAAAATCTATATTTATAAACTGAACAGGATAAATGTATATATAAAAAATCAGGTTGATGAGCTGCGATGATTTTTTCATGTCCGTCTGTTTTTATATACACGAACTAGTCCCTCAGTTTTTGAGATGTCGATCTAAAATTTTGCACATATCATCTTCTGCTCATTTGTCGAAACCACTTGGGCCAAGGCCATTATTCAGTCAAATCGTAAGCGTGAAACCCCTGCCCATTAGTCTAAGCGTTTAGAAGTTGTTTCGAAGCGTGGGTCCACTCGTACTCACCAACAACCAAGGAAGATTTGATATCATGGACTTCACAGAGCGAATCTGCTCGAATAAGGGACAAGACTGTCCAATCCGCCGGAAAGTTTATGAACCTTGATTCTAGAATACATAAGATGATCTACATCTACTACCTTGAAAACGAATTGAAATAATTGAAAAAAAAAACTACCATCGTGACACACCGGCTTCCAGGTAGCCACCTTCAAATTGGTGGACCCATGCACCGTATTTTTCAGATTTGGCGCTCTGTAAATTCTTTACGTATTCAAACCTGAAAAATCCACTCGCCTGCTAGAAATTTTCGTCCGAAAGAGAAAGCTCGAATTTCGAATTACTTATATGTTCAAACTTAAAAAATCCATCCGTCAGGCAGAAATTTGAGTCGAAAGAAGGGTTATCTCATAGCTCTTTTAAAAATATTGGGTCAAGCATATCGATCTAAAACAAGTCTATATTGATACATAGATCAGCAAAAATCATTAGTATGCGCATTACTTTCCAAAACACCCTCGTATATAAACTAAATATTTTATTATCTGAAGCAGATTAAAATTCAATAAAGTTGTTATTTAATATATAATATATGTATATGGTATATGTAGTTCTATAATAAACAAAAACCAGTTAAACGAACTCAAGAAAAAATACTTGAACGAATATCAGGGTGAATGTCTCAGCTTTTTAATATTTAGCATTGGCTTGCAAAAAAATCTTCTACTAATTAGTATGCGAAAATCCTTAGCATACTTTCGGAACTAATTAAATCATACATTTTGCTGAAATAAATTTTCAACACAACTTCTATGTAGTCAAAGGCAAATGTGGTTTGCTCACGTCCCCAGCTTACTCTCTTCCGCGTCACATTCATCTCCGAGCAAGATTAACAAGCGATATTTATGCATTAGTAAGGCACAATTACTTTAACGCTATTCTCCAAGAAGCTCAAAATACTAGCTATTGAAAAAAAATGCTAAATTCAGACAGACACACACACCCATACATACAAACAAATGCGCATACTTAACTGCTTAGCCGCTCAATACGGAAATAAACTTGACCTTTGTGGAATAACAGCAAAAGTCTGCAAAACATACCCCGAAAAGCAACAGTGATAATAGTTATCGAAATGAATGGTCGAAATACAGATATACATACTTACAAACACATATATGTAAATACATAAATATGCGTTGTATACAATAAAGCAGAAAAGAAAAAATTATTAGTCGAGGAAACGAAACTAATACCAAAATCTGCGTTTAAGCAAAGTCTAATCGACAACAACAACAACAAACAGATAAACGATTAAATAAATATGAAATATAATATTATTCGCGTCAAAAATCGAAATAAAAGCGATTGGTGATCACACAAAAATTCTAACATTTACAACAAAAAACGTATAGACTTAGTGAAAAGAATTGAACACGAGATTGTCTATATTCTAAAACTAAGAGTTTCTTGAGCTCTTTGTTTGTGGCCAGTATTGAGGTCATCGACAAATGGACATTGTTATTCTCGTACAGCTGCCTCAATACATTGCGTTGCTTTGAAGTTCAATAGATCCTTGACATTTCATACTAGATATACGACTACGAGAATTATAATATATATGTTATGATTAATTA